TGTTCAGATAATCAACAAAATAAACATTACGACAGGTCCTTTTGATGTAGATTGCAATAACTGCATCACTCAACCGCAAATGAAAGTACATGACTACAATATCATGAATATGGTACAATGACCTACTTTCATATGAACGCTACCAAGCATGACTACAATATCATGAATATGGTACAATGACCTACTTTCATCCTAAATTTACCATGCATGAATACAATATCATGAACATGATCCAGTATAATTATCTTGTTTAAATGTTCTACTCTTTGAAAAGACCTCTCTGGTTGAGTGTATAGTGGATTCCCTCTATGTAACTAAAATATGTCTCAAAGACAAAATATTTTCTTTGTACTGATACAGCTTTACATTTACAATGGTAACATTTCAGTTTGATTGTATGAATATGATGAAATGAATATGATTGGATTTAATGAAAATGTCATGATATTTTTTTTTTGGTCACTTAACATAAAAGATACTAAACTAAAATCAACATGCAAACAAGTAAATTAGGGTGAAAACCGGATTGGAGGTTTAATTAAACGGCCTTGTCTTGTATATCGAGGAGATTCCTCAATGGAATATTGTTCACTTGTGTATAATGAGTCAATTTGTGTGTCATGTTCATTTTCTACCTCTCGTGTTTGGCGACTTGTGTGATTTTGTGACTCAAAGTCATCAGCAATATAAGGCTTTAGATGATCTACATGTACCACTACAATAACATATGTTTGACAACATTGTATTTGATATGTGACTGAACTGATTTTTCTTCTGACTTTGTATGGACCACGCCAACCTAACCCTAACTTTTGCTTAGCCCAAGGAGGATACCACCTCCAAACTAAGTCACCTTCACTGAAAGTTCTTAGTTTTATATTTTCATCATGATATTTTTTCTGACGCTTTAAACTACTTTCAAGACATTCTCCAGCATGCTGAAATGCAGAAGACATAGCTTCTTTTACAAATTCAATGTATTCATTGATGCATGATTCTTCATAATTTGGTGGGTTACCAGCAATTATGTCTATAGGGAAGTCTATTTCACGCCCTAACATTATCAAATTTGGAGAACATTTTGTACTTTCATGAATAGAAGCACGATAGGCCATCATGACATAGGGCAGATGGTCATCCCAGTCATTTCTATGTTTATTGACAAATAATGAAAGCATTTGTTGTAAAGTACGATTAAATCGTTCCACCATGCCATCTGATTGAGGCCGGTATGGAGTAGTTCGGGTTTTATATATGTCAAATTTTTCACATAATTCAGAAAACAATTGAGATTCGAATTCTCTGCCTTGATCAGTGTGAATACGGTATGGAGTACCATAGCGACATATAAATTCGTTTACTAGAACATCTGCAACTGTCTGTGCAGTGTGATCTTGTAGCGCAAAAGCTTCTTTCCATTTGGTAAAATAATCGCCTATGACCATTATATACTCATTATGTTTTTCTGTCATGGGTAAAGGTCCCATTATATCAATGGCAATGCATTGTAATGGTCGGTATGAAGGGCAATGCTGCATGGGTGATTTGCCTAGACCTGGGCCAGGTTTACGCCGTGCACACACAGTGCAATTTTGACACCATCTATCTACATCGGATGACATGCCAGGCCAGTAAAATCTAGCGCGTACAGAAGCTAAAGTTTTGTCTCGACCCAAATGTCCCGCTACACGTTGATTGTGTAATTGATACATAATTTCTTTTCTAATGGACTTGGGTACCACTAACAACAATTTATGGATATTTTCCGAAATACTGAACCATTGACGATATAAAATACCATCTTTTAACACAAGGATATCTTTAAAGTTCCATAGTTGTCGAATTTCAGGATCGGTTCTATAGACCGGATCTAAAGCATTTGTCTTGCTATGTATAATTTCACTCATGGCTTTTAAAGAAGGGTCACTTTTTTGAAGTTTTGACACATAGTCATCAGACCATTTATCTAACCAGTTAGTAGTTACGTCGCTAGCTTTATGATTTGATTTTGTAGACTGTATTGCATGTACAGTAGAAGCAGTGCATTCGCAGTTTTCTTGACGGCATCTACGTCTGGGCTTTCTAGGCATAACATCCGCATTTATGTGCAAAGACCCTTTACGGTGCTGTATCTCAAAATCATAAGTATCTAGCACAGATATCCATCTGGCTATCATACCTTCGGGTTCTTTAAAATTACGAAGCCATTTTAAGGACGAATGATCTGTACGAAGTATAAACTTTCTACCCCATAGGTAGTGTTTGAATTGTTTAACAAACATGACTACTGCTAGCAACTCCCGATAAGTTGTGCAATAACGACGTTGGGTCTTAGATAATGTCTTGCTGCCGTACGCAATGACTCTTTCTTCACCGTTTTGAATTTGTGATAGTACAGCGCCAATTCCGTCGTTTGAAGCGTCTGTATCGAGTATGAAAGTATCGTGACAATTGGGGTACGATAATACTGGGGAAGAAAACAAAAGTTTCTTAAGTATTTGAAATGCCTTTTCACTGGAACTATTCCAAGTAAATGGAATATCTTTTTGAGTCAAACGAGTGAGTGGATATGCCACTGTAGCAAAATCAGGAATAAATCTCCTATAATACGAGGCTAGTCCTAAGAAACTTTTTATTTCGGTGACATTTTCGGGGGTTTTCCAGTCTTGGACTGCATAAATCTTTTTAGGGTCACACTTCACACCATCTTTTGACACAACGTGTCCTAAGAAGGATACTTCTTCACGAAATAAAATACACTTTTTAGGTTTTAGTTTAAGATTTGCGTCCCTAAATCTGTCAAAAACCTTTGTCAAATTTGATAACGTTTCTGTGAAAGTGTTTCCGAAGACAATCACATCGTCTAAGTAAACTAAACAACGTTCCCACTGTAACCCAGTTAAAACTATTTCCATCAATCTTTCAAATGTGGCAGGACTGATAGTAAGGCCAAAAGGCATAACTTTAAATTGATATAATCCTTTATGGGTTACGAAAGCAGTTTTATGTCTATCATTGTAATCCATAGCTACCTGCCAGTAGCCACTTGCCATATCAAGTGTACAAAAATATTTAGAGCCTGACAATGCGTCTATAGACTCATCTATACGGGGAAGTGGGAAGGCATCTTTTACAGTTAACTGGTTTAGTTTACGATAATCCACGCAGAAACGCGTGCTTCCATTTTTTTCTGAACAAGCACGATGGGAGATGCCCATGGTGAACAACTAGTTTCAATAATGTCTTGTTCAAGCATATTTTTTATTTCTTTTTCTGCAGTTTCTCTTTGATCCAGTGGTAGTCTTCTAGGTGGCAATTTTATGGGTTTATTTTCTTCCGTATTTATTTTGTGTTTAACTTTGTTTGTTCGACCCAATTTACCATCTAAACCTACGAATACATCTTGATATCGGCAGAAAACCGAAATTCATTCGTTTTTTTTTTTTCATTCTTTGTAAGTTCAGACGAAACATTGTCTAACATGATTTTCAAATGATCAGGTAAACAGTCAGTTTTCTTAGTTTCATCACACTCTATTTGTTCAAAATTATCAACCAAATCGGTTGCATTCGTTATACCTTGAATGGTCGCCACTTGAGTGTTTTTCTTTATTTGAACAGGTTCTGGGTTAAGATTTAGTATTGAAAAAAGGACTTTGCCATCATTGACATTTACTAGGGACTTTGGAACACATATTTCCTGACCTAAACTATCACTAGAGTGAGGTTCAACTAAACCTTCCAAAGTCTTGAAACGTGAATTTCCTAAATCACCCTCTACAAAAGAAGATGGGTGAACAAGGCGGGCGAAGTGCCTATAGTGCGACAAACATGAAGTGAAAAATAAAATCTCAATTATATAAAAATTTTCTTTGATATTTCATCTAACATTAAAGTATATTTTATGCTAAATCTCTACAATTTACAAAAATCTCACAAAGACTGAAATTATTTGCCTACGAAATAGCATACACACACTAAAGAGGACAAAAAGGATCATTTTCTCACACCTTAACAAAATTTTTCGATATGAGTGGGTCTTCGCTCCATTTTTTTGAAAGTTGATCCTAAAAGTTTGCATAAAAATATACATTTTTTGGTTTACAAAAACATGGAGCAAAGACCCACTATACCTTAAAAGTACACTTTTATGACAAAGCATTCGCATCTTTCCGAGAAATACTTGAAGTCCATTAAGTCAAGAGTCATATCACAAATATGATTTAAATGCCACTATTCGTCAGGAGCTGCGTGGCGTAGTGGTTAGCGTGTAAGTCTCGAAACAATATGATACTCCGGATTTTTATTGATAGGGGTTCGAATCCCACGATTACCATTTTATTTTTTTAATAAAAGAATAATTTTTTCCGAGATTTTTTTTCTCAGAAAAGTTTTGTTAATCATAATTTCATAAATTTCAATAATGAGAACTTTATTTTGAATACTTAATTCACAATTTGAATATGATTTTGTTAGTATCTGAAGCTATAGGCATTCTGCACGCCTTGTTCACCCATCTTCTTTCATCAGAACCAGGAATGACTATATCTTTTGCGAGATAAACCCGCGCACAAGCAAAATTATCTTCACTCTCTAGATGGACTTGAAAATCAGGAAAAATCAATACACCTTCTCCAAGATCAAATAAAACATCATTTTTAGACAAGAAATCTAAACCTAATATTCCTGAAAGATCACCTAATTCTGCCACTATCACGGGTATAATAAACTCTTTATTTCCCAAACCCAAAGTTATTTCAGTTTGACCATAGACTTGTAATGGTTCCCCATCTGCTGTTTTAAGTTCTATTGACACTTTTTGTAAGTATTGATCACAAAGACCTAAATTTCTTAAAATGTCTTTTGAAATGAGTGAAACGGCAGACCCTGTATCAATCAACATTTGCATACAAAATGACTTTATTAAAACATTAGCAAACCAGCAAGAACCTGTCAAGGACGATAACCGAATGCTTCCCGGTGACCGTTTCGGAGACTTATCTAGTACCTCCTGGACTGAACTTTCGGTCGCAAGGACAGTCCGCCGGCGTTTGGGTTGTTCTTTGGAAACTGGCGCGATGAGTTCGATTTATCATTTTGTTGTGAAAAATTGTGAGGTCTCTCTGTACATTGTCGACTAATGTGGCCAGATTTGCCGCAGGTACAACACCTGATGTTTGAATTCACGGTATTTTTGAGTTTTGAACTGGACTCGTTAGCAAGTTTTAATTCGTTTACCGCAGACTGAAGTTCTTTCATGGTTTTGGTGATTTCGGACAAAACTGATTCATCTGACGCGTAAGAGTTTGAAGTTTTCTGGAAACCTTCTTTTTGTACGGCTCGGACAGTAGATTGATTCAAGAGCAAATCTTGTTCAAAATTACGCGGTTTGAGTAATGTTTTGTTATGCGCTCCCTCAAACGCCTCAAATTCTACTGCCAAGGAAATGGCTTTATCTAAAGTCAAGGGATGTGCAAACTGCACATATTTCTTTAGTTCTATGTCACCGAGACCACTGATATATTGGTCAATGACTAAATTTTCACGACTGGACATCGGTATATTAGGAAACGCACGATTTGCCAAACGATTAAGTGCATACCCATAATCTGAGACGGATTCTCCCCTGAGTCTTTTTCGAGCCCTAAATTCGCATCTATGTGCGGTTTCTCTTTCAGAGGGACAAAACCTCTGTCCTAGAGAAAATTTAAGACACGAAAAATTTGATAACTGTTCCGGTGATAATTCACAAAGTATTCGCTGCGCGGTGCCACGAAGCGACATAGCTGGCTTTCTCGTCATCTGACCAATGATTCCACAAAGCAACCTGTTCAAAATGTGTTAAATAGTCGGGCCATTCTACATTTTTTCCGTCATACTTATCAGGTTCTTTTTTTTCTGACAACATTGAAAGAATTTTGAGAAGAAATCTCTGGACATTGGACTTTGTGTTCAAAACACGGGGTTGAATGTATTGGTGTATGAATTGATTTTACACCGGAAGCTTCCGCATTCCTTGGGAAAGCCCTATTGGTCATGTGACTAGAAGTTGTCGGTTCACTGTGGAACAAACCACGCTGTTTAAGGGTTGATGAGGAGCAATACTGTGTGTTTGGGGCAGGAATATTATTTTCTGTGGTGTATATGATTGAAAAACCTGCGAATTCTCAACATTCTCGTACAAATTCTCAGAGAAAAAATTCTCTTTGTTTGGAATTTTGCATTCTGTAAATTGAAATTCTAAAGAGGGATCACCCTGTGTCATACAAAATCTGTTTTTTTTGCTGACTGAAATGGCTGATGTATTTGATTTTCTTGTGAGGATAAACCTGCATGTTTGTTATTCTCTGTATTCATGGGAAATTAAACTGCGTCGTGAAACTGATCTTGATTATTCACTTCGGAGGAACAAGTACAAGGTAAAAAGATTCTCTCATTCATGTTATTCTCTGACAAATCTAACCCTGACACAATATTGTTATGGTTCACATTTTGTGTTGGACTATTTTCAAAAGTAGTACATGTAGGGCGAGGCGAAAACAAATTTCGCAGACTTGTACTTAGACTTTCAAATAAACGTGAGGCCATTGCTATATGAAAGGTCACACTAATGAAAGAAATTTCCAAATGGAAATAATGAACAATGTCAACAAAACAATAACATGATCCTAGTATCCCGCGGACGAAGCCCCCAAAATTTCTGTAACAGTGGTCTGTTAACTTTCATATTTCCCAGATTATCACGAAATACTAGGTCATGAACGAAACAAATATAACAGAAACAATAAATAGATTTAAATGATGAAGATTTATTGTATTGATAAAATAATTTGTCTAGGGTATCTTTATAACAAACAACTCAATTGAAACTCACAAAATGGAAGGAACGTAGTGGATATTTGCCTAAAATCTGATAGTTTACTGCAATTTTCTGTCTTTAAATAATTGTACACTAATAATAATCTATAAAGAAAGGAGACAAACTCCTGAAATATCTATACGTCCGTACTGGACAAACTAAAAAGAACAAGTGACCAAGATCGCGGAACGGGAACGCCCGGATCCCAGACGGTAGCACCGGTTGTCAATGACAACCGCGCACTCCATCCAAGATCCAAGAGAGATAACTCTAAAATAATGTATACGTCTCCTCTACAAATAATTAAATCCTGTGTAAGTGCAAAAAGGTCAACAAAAGAAGTATTGATAAACAGAGTCTCTCTGGTTCTTTTGCGGGGAAAGGTATACATTTTAATCAATTTTGTAATTATTTGGATATGTTCTTCATCATGGTAAAGAATACAAACATTGTGACAAAGACTTCTGAAAAATATTTACAAATTTAGGTGGTAAGTTGACTAAAAAAATATTGAGCACATTTGCCCATATTCGTTGAAATGTGGACTTAATCTTTTATGTCAATTGAATAAAAAAGAATTTATTCTTGAATAATATTGCTTAATACGGTTCAGTTAATAAAGTCTATAAAAGACGATGTTTGAAGAACTATTTTTGTGATTTTCTTTATTCTTTTTATGACCAGTACCCCTAAAAATTGCTGAAAAAATGTAGTCGCAGAATAAAATTATCATTCCAAGATGAACAGTCTGCACTACATTTAAGAGGCAGTCCACCAAAACACCAGGCAATGGGTGGCACAATGCATGTCATGGATTTTAATTATTTTTTTGCATGTAGACTTATTAAAGAAAATGTTTACACATGGCAACATCACATTTTTTTGTGTTCCTCTAGTCCTATTTTTGGTAAGTGCTTAATTTTAAGTGCAAAAAGGTCAACAAGTTGGCTAAAAATTTACTACGTTTTTGTTTTGTTTTATTTGAAACAGATACTCAAAAACTGGATATGTCAATAAATATTATTTACAATATAAAGCCTTATCTTTTATAATATCAATGAGTAAGTCACCAATTTATATTTCTTTAGAAAAAATTATGTGGTCTAAACTTGAGTTAAGCAAGTGACTTAATGAATTCACTATCCAATTTTCATTACGTTCTAAAATCCAATACATTTAAATGTCAAAACTTTCTCCTCATGTTATTATGAATACAAAGTACAAATTGTTGAATCAATTCAAAAAATTGGTGGGAACAGGTATGTATTGAGAGAAATAAGAAGCGTCAAATTATCTACCTTTTATCAATTTATCCAAATTAAACCGATCCCGACCGGAATTATATAAAGAAGAAAGCTACCATGATTTCATCATAAAATTTGGTTGTTTTGTTTTAATATGGTTTACAAATTACTTGTTTTATTTTTAAACATGTTTTCTAGGTGGCAATTACCATTAATTTGTTTACGTAATAATTTTGCATTAATTTCGATCGGGATCGGTTTTATTTCAATCGGGATTGGTTTCTATATTAAAAATTCCAAAATCGGCTCTTTGTTGTATTTTATCATAAGAATATGTCTGTATTTTATTTCTTTTCTGTGAGTTACATGTTTTTAGATGATTTTATCCATAGATTACATATATTAATTACTAAATACACACCTATTTAAAAAGATATTTATTTCATGTAACAATTAAAAGCAGCAATTTTAAGCTTAATAAAATATCTCATTTCCAAGAAAAATAATTTTTAAAATTATCTGGAATAAAAAGAAAAACTAAGAAAAAAAAAGTCCTGCAGTGGCGAAATTATACATGCCCGTACTTTAATCCAGCAAGTATTTTTTTTATGTGTACAGCCTTGGCTTTAATCCATTTTTTTTTCATCCATTCATCATATTAATGAATATTTTCCTGCTCTAAGAAATTTAATTTGAAATAGATAAGAAAAAACCTGTACACTTACGTACATATAATCATGATAATAGAGCCCAGAAATGAAAAAAAAAGCGGTGGGGGGGGGGGTTCGTCTGGGCGGCATCCATTTTGTAACTGGTTTGATAATAAAGATATATTTTGAAAATTTACCAACCTACTGACTTATTTTAACTCCATATAATCTGTGCTTAGAAATTAACAAATCTGTGGGATGCTTCCTGTGTCTGTCATGGCAAGTGGGCGTTACGTTCTATTTTAAGAATGGAGCTCGGAGATGCTTCTTCTTATACATTTGACTTAAAAGTTATGAATATTTAAATTTTCTCCAATGTTCTATACAAATGTGTTTACATTTCGATAAGAAGAGCTACCGAGAGAGCCCGAGAAGCCACGAACGTTTGTCCGTCAAGTGTTACGTTGCACAAAGTATGTTACGTTCATAAAAATATAAGCTGTCTTTATCCTACATTTTAAACACATATCAAATATTGTCAACTAGTAGGTGTATTTTGGATTTTTTTTTTAAATTATGAACTTGCACGCTCTTCATAACTACATAACCACTTAAAATTTGACATTTCTTACATAACGTACCGATTGACAAACATTGCCTAAATACTACATGTATACTAAACGAACATCTGTTCATGTTACGTGAATCAAACGGGTCCATTCAGATTTATACGTTTAGTAAATTAAACCAAAATGTATCTTTATTTAAGAATATTAATGTATCATAAGGCAAAATTTGTCTTTATAACTTAAACAATACAATTTTGTAGTTGTTTTCTTGCAGATTTTAAAATGAGTCTGTCAGGGTTACGTGCATCCGTACATGTTACGATATAGATTTGATCTATATGAAATAATTTATTTTTTTTTTTTTATAAATTTCATTAGTATTTTCATAAATAATAATATCTTGTGTATTATAATTTTCAAGAATAAAAGATAAACTTTGAATGATAAATTTTATTGGCTCGTTTCAAACAGGTATTGCTCAAGAAATATCGTAACATGACAGACAGGGTGGAAATTTTGTATGTTACAAAGCGTATAGCAGAGATTTATTTTTTAAAAATTCATATTCAAAATCTATAAGGAATCAAAATTTGAATAATGTCTATTTCTTATGGCAACATTATCTTTTTGATAAAATAATGAAAGTTTATGGTTGATTTGGCTAGCTAAGTAGAAGGAGTCTGTCAGTGTTACGATCATCAGTCTGTGCATCAAAAGTAGCTTAAAAATCTTTTTTTTTCTACGTTAGAGTGAATAAAATTTTCCGCATTGTTTAAGAAATTGCTTAATTTTATTTTTTACAGATTATTCGTATTGCTAAACATCAGAAATGTAATTTAATCATGTCATGTTTTATTATACGTCTGTCATGTTACGTTATATGTCTGTCATGTGTTACGTGACACACATTTCAAACATTAATAAAATATTTATCTTTGACTTAATTATCTATTCAAACATTTTTTGGTCCTATTTAGAGTCAAAACTTCAAATACACATAAAGAAATCTAAGGAAAAAAAACGTGTCTACAGAATTCTTTATTTGTCCTCCCAGATGTACTCAAGAGCGAATTTAGAGCCAAAAATTACCTCGTGACGTCATACCTTTAAGCACGACGTTCATGCCATTTTTGAGAGGCCCATGACGAAAAACTACATTGTAAAAGTGGTATCGGATAAATTTAAACTGTTTTAGGGAGTATGCATTAAAGACATCCTGTGCAAAAATCCTGAT